CGTTTGAGGGTTGAAAGTTGTTGGAAGAAAGATCAAGCTCCCATAATGCAGTTCAAAAGCAGAAATAAAGAGGGAGATAGTTAATAAATCAGGGTCAGCATGGTGGCTCAGTGGTTAGCACTGTGGCCTCACAGCAAGAAGGTTGCATGTTCTCCCTGTGTTGGTGTGGGTTTCCTCCCCCACAGTCCAAACACATGCACTATAGGGGAACTGATCAACTAAATTGGCTGTAGTGTATAAGTGTGTATGGGTTTTTCCCAGTACTGGGTTGCAGCTGGAAGAGTATCTGCTGTGCAAAGCAATTGTTGGCAGTTCATTCCGCTGTGGCGACGTCTGATAAATTAGGGGACTAAGCTGAAGGAACATGAGTGAATGTTGAGTTTAGTGTCATTTAAATATAATTGATTTATTTTTACCCCAACATTGCACGTGTTTGTTCATATTTGACCCAACAATGGGTTACAACAACCCAGTATTTTGAATGTAATAGAGATCATCTCTAGCATTGATGTCAATTTTGAAAACTGTCCATCTTATTTTTAATGTTAAAGCAGTCATGTTTTATTTGGGGAGACTTCTGTTGCATGCTTAAACTTATTTTATTTATATGCAAATCAGTCATGCTGGAACAGTTGGTGGTTCATTCCACTGTGACGACCTCTGAAATAGAGACTAAGCTGAAGAAAATGAATGAATAAATCATCAATCACAAAATACAGAATGCTGCTGATTTAGGGATGTGTTTTCCAGTAGCTCTGCTTTATTCAGAGTGTAGTAAAACGCCTCTCGCAGCACATGGTGAAGCTGTTGGTAGTCAAGTGCACAATATGCTGTTTATGTGTGTTGTTGTTACACATTTCAGCTGTTTCCTCCTACAGAGTGGGAAATTGCAGCGACTGCAGCTCATCATGAGAAATCTGAGCCAGTATGGAGACTGATGCCTGGCCAGAAAGAATGTAGTGGGTGCAGTCGAGTGTTTCCAGCCGCATGGGGAATAACACACACACACACACACACGAGAGCTGCAGTGCATTGTGGACACACAGCTGCATTCGCTCTTGTCTTTACCCCTGAGTGTGTGCGCGTGTGTGTGTGAGATTGTTATATGTGACCTCATGTGAAGTGTGTGTGATGAAGCTATTCAGTTCATCTGGTGAAATTCTATTCATATCGCATGCAATGCATGCAGCCCTACCAGATATCCTGGACCCGCTATGTAGGTGAAAATGGCATGTATGTTCACCCTGAGTGTTTTGAGATGCAAGTTTTCAGTTTTATTTTCTCTCCGTGTCCTGGAAAGTCCGTGTGAATCCTGGTGTAAACTCTGCGTGTGTCCTCAGCTCTGACCCGCGGCCGCTGTCTGATCGACTCCATCACACTGCCTGATCCCCAGTGCTGGAAACTGAGCGTCGTCTGCATGCTGAGGACATGTGTCTGTGTTATTAGCTCTAACAGTGTGACAAGCGTTACACGCATGCATTAGGAGACGCTCTGATCTCTGTTGAAAACACAAACAAGTACTGAACGTATTAATCCAAGTCAAGCAGGCTTTTATTGTCATTTCAAATTTTGTTAGTTTCACCTCACCAGTACCGGGTTGGACCTCTTTTGCCTTCAGATCTGCCTTAATCCTTCATGGCGGAGATTGAACAAGCTACTGGAAATATTCCTCAGAGATTTTGCTTCATATTGTCATGATAGCATCACACAGTTGCTGCAGATTTGTCGGCTGCACATCCATGATGCCAATCTCCCGTTCCACCACATCCCAAAGCTGCTCTATTGGATTGAGCTCTGGTGACTGTGGAGGCCATTTGAGTACAGTGAACTCATCGTCATGTTCAAGACACCAGTCTGAGATGATTGAGCTTTATGACATGCTGCGTTATCCTGCTGGAAGTAGCCATCAGAAGATGGAGACACTGTGCTCATAAAGGGATGGACATGGTCAGCAGCAATACTCAGGTAGGCTGTGGCGTTGATGCTCAATTGGTACTAATGGACCCAAAGAAAATCTCCCCCACACCATTACACCACCACCACCAGCCTGAACCGCTGATACAAGGCAGGATGATCCATGCTTTCATGTTGTCTGAGCCGAGCATCTGAATGTGTCAGCAGAAATGGAGACTCATCAGAGCAGCAACGTTTCTCCAATCTTCTATTGTCCAGTTTTGGTAAGTCTGTGTGAATTGTAGCCTCAGTTTCCTGTTCTTAGCTGACAGGAGCGGCACCCGGTGTGCTGTTCTGCTGCTGTAGCCCATCCGCCTCAAGGTTGGACGTGTTGTGTGTTCAGAGATGCTCTTCTGCAGAGCTCGGTTGTATCGAGTGCTTATTTGAGTTACTGTCGCCTTTCTATCAGCTGGAACCAGTCTGGCCATTCTCCTCTGACCTCTGGCCTCATCAACAAGGCATTTGCGCCCACAGAACTGCCGCTCACTGGATATTTCCTCTTTGTCGGAGCATTCTCTATAAACCCTAGAGATAGTTGTGTGAGAAAATCCCAGTAGATCAGCAGTTTCTGAAATACTCAGAGCAGCCCGTCTGGCAGCAACAACCATGCCACGTTCAGAGTCTCTTAAATCCCCTTTCTTCCCCATTCTGATGCTCAGTCTGAACTGCAGCAGATCATCTTGACCATGTCTAAATGCCGAAATGCAGTGAGCTGCTGCCATGTGATTGGCTGATTAGAAATTTGCGTTAACGAGCAGTTGGACAGATGAACCTAATAAAGTGGCCGGTGAGTGTAGAGTAGGGGTGCATGATATTAGAAAGAAACTAAGATTGCAATATTGTATTTTTCTGTGATGCACGTTGCGATACTGTGTGTAGTTTCATCAGACGACTCGATTGGCTCTATTTGGGGGGAAAAAAATCTTTATTTTGGAGTTATTGGGATCATTTTGTAGAAACTCTACTAAACCAATAACAAGTATTGATAAATAAAGTAGAGCAAAGATACAAGTAAAATAAACACTGCTCTGGGGGACTTTGTGGAGTATTTAGGTACACAAATTGAAGTCAAATGCAAAAATAACACTGAATAGTCTACATTGTATATACTTAAACAATTTAACTTTACAAATATTAAAATTCCTTCTGCCCGAATGCTTTAAACTGATTTAAGATGCTTACATGAGCCTTAAGAAAGCATGCAAATAAAACATTGTGAAGTCACTCAATATTGTGCAGTACTGAAGTCATGATATGGATAACATTTCAATGAGATTTAGATATGACTTGCACTGTATTGCAATAACAAGTAATAAATAAATCAGTATTGTGCAGTACATCAGCTAAAGTCATGATATGCAGAACATTTAAATGAGACTCTGTTAGATTTAGTTATTGTTTGTACTGTATGTGGAGTTCATCCCAGTGATGGGCTTATAGCGCTGTGGTGTTTATTTTGGTTGCAGGCATGTCCCGCACACAGAGCGCCGTCATTGTTCCAAATCACATGGTTGTACAAACATTTTTAGAAATGTCATTTGCTCAGCTCTTTGCCTTGTTGTTTCAGGGTTAAAGCATCTCCTCTGGGTTTAAAATACACCATTGGAGGACAGATGAACATTACACGATGAACACTGCTCATGCTGCCGTTCAGAATTCAGGATAATGACACTGAAATGTGCAAACTAACTGATGGAAATAGTAGATTTCTTTTTTTCTTTAATGTTGCAAAAAGTTTACATCACAAAACGGTGAACAATCAACATCGCAAGGCATGTTTACCATTAAAAAAAATAAAATACATTAAATTTGTTACTATATTTAATATTTACAAACAGAAATCAAATATTTGGTTTTGTTAGGGATGCACTTAAATATCATTAATGAAAGAAAAATATGCATCCAGTGCCACGATTCATAATTACAAAAGCATCATATTAAAACAAACACTATTAACATGTCATAGAAAGAGTTTGTTCTGTGTTTTATTTACTGAAGATGTACTTATGTAAGACAGTACTGTTATATAAGGCATCTACAAGAGGTTAAGGTTAAGTTCAGGGGGTAGGAGCTGATAATTACCCTGTTTATGTAATGACTTTGTACAAGAAACTGCTATCAAAGTATTATATATTGTAAATGTTTTACTGTTACATGGTCTGAATTATTAACACTAATGCTAATGTAGTATTTACTAACATTAACAAACAATCAACAATATATTTATCACAGTATTTGTCTTTGTTAATGTTAATTAATTTGAAAACCTGCTATCTTTTGAAAGCATTTAAATACATACAACTATCTATTTACTATTATTGCTTATTTATTTGTCTTTTCTCTGTTAAATGATTAAGTTAATTAAGTTTGTTCTTGTGGTTTTGACTTGAAGGCCTCCTATTATGTGAAAATCACTTTTATAAGCAGTTTCAACCCAGTTGTGTCAGCAGTGTGTGAATATCTCCAGTCTCTAATAGTGAACATGTATTATTGTGTATGTTATAATCAGACTTGATGAAAAGTCTGCAGAAACACTTTGATTGACATTCTCCCTTTGTATGTGTCATCAGAGACCCCGCCCACTAGTGTCCTTCATCTCTCCCTCATTAGCATAGGACATTAGTGTTGTATTTAAATCTGACACACAGGCGTTTGTAGCTCCGCCCTCTTTTGGAAAGTGCATTTAATCTCATTTGAATTTAAAGCGACAGTCACCAAGACACCACAATTAGGATCAAAGCTTAAAAAGGTCAATTTCAGAGAGTTATAACACATTATCTGTGTGCTGTTTTGGGCTGAAACTTCACACACACACACACACACACACACACACACACACACACACACTTACACACACAGACTTATTTCAGACATCAGAGACTTGTTTTACATCTTGTATAAAGGAGATAATAGATGATGACCTTTAATAAAATATAAAAACTGAAAATGAAATGAGGGAAAAAAATGAGACAAGAACTGAAACATATAATGAAGTTCAGGGATGTCTGAATGTCACGTGACCATAATATTTGTTTGTGTGTGTGCAGCGCTGCAGGAGGAGAGATCTTCAACCAGTGTGTTGCTGACCGAGACGAGGCCTTCACAGAGCAGGAGGTGAAGCGGCTGATGAAGCAGATTCTGGAGGGCGTCTCATTTCTGCACAATAACAACGTCGTCCACCTCGACCTCAAAGTCAGTCTCACTAATCTGCATCTCTCAATTCAATACACATTTATTTCTATAGAGATTTTCACATTAATCATCCTTCCAAAGCAGCTCCACTAAAGAGCATTACATTAGTCAACATCAGAAAGGTTGAGTTGCAGGCCAGTCTAGTAAAAGGGGTGGTTATTTTTCTGCAGTTATACACCTACTTTCTATTTAATTATGAGACTTACTGCATTTTACTGGCTTTTATAGGTGAATTAGCTTGTGAGATGATCATCATAACTACACTTTTTGATATACCAAAAATATTTGCTAAAGATTTATAAGGAATGTGAAAAAATGCTCAATTTTAAAATACATATTTATTACATTATATATCAGTAGAAAAAATATGAATCTGCTAAAGTTTTAAATCAAAAACTGCAGCCTATTTTCATTTATTAGGCAAATAACAAACTGGCCAGCACATTCACCTTTCCTCGGTCAGAAATTGTCCATTTGAATAAAATAGTTAAAACTAAATAATAATAATAATAGTAATAATAATAAAAACAATAATAATAATAACAATAATAATAAGAATATCATAATAATGACAATAACAATAATAAAAATAATAATAATAATCATAATGACAATAATAATAATTATAATAATAACAATAATAATAATATCAATAATAATCATAATAATGACAATAACATTAATAATAATAATCATCATCATCATCATGACAATAACATTAATAATAAAAACAATAATAATAATAACAATAATGACAAAAATAATAGTAGTAATAATAACAATAATAATAATCATAATCATAATAATGACAATAACATTAATAATAATAATCCTCATCATCATAATAATGACAATAATAATAATGATGACAATAATAATAATAATAATAATAATAATGACAATAACATTAATAATAATCATTATCATCATCATAATAATGACAATAATAATAATAATAATAATAATAATAACAATAATGATAATAATACTAATAATAATAATGACAGTAACAATAATAACAATAATAATAATCATCATCATCATAATGACAATAATAATAATAATCATAATAATGACAGTAACATTAATAACAATCATTATCATCATCATCATAATGACAACAATAATAATAATAACAATAATGATAATAATACTAATAATAATAATGACAGTAACAATAATAACAATAATAATAATCATCATCATAATGACAATAACAATAATAATAACAATAATGACAATAATAATAATAATGACAATAACAAAAATAACAATAATAATAATCATCATCATAATGACAATAACAATAATAACATTAATAATAATAATATAGTAATAATAATAAATGTAGAGCTTCACAACTTTTCTAGCCTCTCTTGTAAAAAAAGAAAAAAGAAAAAAAGAAAAAGTACATTTGAAAGTTCATGGATATCAACAATGAGCTGAAGTGTTTTCAGATTTCAGAGTGTTGGTTTGGTTTTTCTGCTTCAGCCTCAGAATATCCTCCTGACCAGCGAGTCTCCTCTCGGGGATATTAAGATTGTGGATTTCGGGCTGTCCCGGCTGCTGAGCAACAGTCATGAGGTGCGAGAGATCATGGGGACGCCGGAGTATGTGGGTGAGCAGCGGACGCACAGTTCACAAACACACACACACACACACACACACACACACACTATTGATTATTTAATAACTCTGAGTCATTACCTAAATCTGAATTATTGGCTCTCCTGTGAAATGTTCATTCTCTTTATACAGTGCGGTTTAACACAGAAGATGACTTTAAAAACAAAATCAAATCCTGCTCTGCTCTACATACAGCACAATAACAGGCAAACACACTGGACTGACTATCTGCAATTGGTTTGTTTCATCATTACAGCACCAGAAGTCCTGAATTATGAGCCGATCAGCACAGCGACTGACATGTGGTGAGTTTATTACTGTTATTTTCCCATGAGTCTCTCAGAGGTCTTCATCACACAGTACATACAGTATATTTCTGCTGTTCTCCGATCAGCTGCATCTGCTGTCCTCCAGCACACTTCTGTGATCTCCTTCAAACAAACCCTTTATTCACTAATGAAAGATGTTCGACTTCAGGATATATTCTGCAGGAACATTTGAGCCCTGAAGACTGTTCTGGACTCTGATAGAGCGTGTTATGCTAGTTCATAAATCTGCTCATCTGCTTCTACTGGTCAGCTATAATCATAACTCAACATTGCAGATTCTGTCATGTGACTATAGCTAGTGATATCCCTGCTGACACGAGATATTGCACAGCCCTGATAGCCAGTGTTGTTGTGTGGTAGTGTTGCTCAGAGTGTGATGTTCTCTGCAGGAGCATCGGCGTGCTGGTGTACGTGATGCTGACGGGCATCTCTCCGTTTCTGGGGGACGATAAACAGGAGACGTTCCTGAACATTTCTCAAATCAACATCAGCTACAGCGAGGAGGAGCTGGAGCAGCTGGACGGATCCGCCATTCGCTTCATTAAATCACTGCTAATCAAAGAGCCTGAGTAAGAGCCGATCACCAATCTCACTTATAATAGATGCATACAAATACATATATGAGGAAATCCCTTCCCAATCCCTGAAGAATCACCTCCATCCCCTCCCACTCCAATGCTGTGAGGACTTTTCTTCTTTTTTGGGGGGGTCAGCAATGTCGGGTGAGTATGCGTCAGTCTATGTCGCTCCTGTCGCTGTTCATCTAAAGCTCCACATCTATAATGCTCTTAGTCTATGCTGACATTATCTTCAGCAGCTCAAACACTCTAATGGCTAATGGACAGACGGCTGCTTCTCACTCAGGCCTGCTGGACATGCTAATGAGATGAAGATGGGCACTAGTGGGCGGGGCTTTCCCCCTCTGATGACACGTACAAAGGGAGAATGTCAATCAAAGTGTTTCTGCATCAAGTCTGATTAGAAATAACAGAATTAATTACATTTTCCCTTTAGAGGCTGGAGATATTCACACACTGCTGACAGACAACTGTGTTTAAACCCCTTATACAAGTCATTTTTTCATAATAGCTCCCTTTAATGAGGAATTTAATCTCAATACTACTTCAAATCCCTATAAATCTCATTATATTTTCAATTCTACAGACGCTAATAATGCTGAGTGTGTTTCCTCAGGAATCGTGCGACCGCTGAGGACTGCCTGAAACACCAGTGGCTACAAACTGAAGAACAGGACCTGATTGAGAGCAGCGTGAGTCCCGGGACGTCCAGCCCTGATGAAGAGGAGGAGGAGGAGCTCATCGTGATGGCGGCGTATACTCTGGGCCAGTGCCGGCAGACCCCGGAGCAGAAGGACGTCTCCAAACGCTTCAAGTTTGAGGAGCTTTCCGGAGACTTCATCTACTGATCTGCTCGTTCTGCTGCACCGTATGCTCTTCTGACTTCGAGATTTGTACACGTTTCTAATCCACATATCCTAAAACACTTAAATCAAGATGCATTTTCTGGACAAGTATAAAATATTGTCTTGTTTTCAGGAATAATGAGACTAAATGAAGTGAGTTTTTCATTTAAACATGCAATATAATCTGCCAACAGCGTACTGTAAAGGAAATAATGTCATTTCAAAAGTGAAAACTAGATTATTTTGCTTGTTTTAAGGAAAAACTCGCTTATTTTTAGTGCATTATTTCTGAAAACAACACAATTTTTGTTCTTGTCTAATAAAATGCTGCTTGATTTAAGATTTTTTTTTATATTTGGACTAGAAATGTAAGATAATAGTACATTTTTTAGTCTTGTTTCTAGTCCAAATGTCTAAAAACTCTTAAATCAAGAAGCATTTTCTCAATGAGCAAAGAATTTCCTCATGTTTTCAGAAATAATGAGTCAAAATGAAGTGAGTTTTCATTAAAACAAGCAGTATGATCTGCCAACTGGGTATTATACATGAAATAATGTCATTTCAAAGGTGAAAACTAGATTATTTTGCTTGTTTTAAGAAATAACTCACTTAATTTTGACTCATTATTCCTGAAAACAACACAATAGTTTATGCTTGGTCAGAAAATGCTTCTTAATTTAAGAATTTTTAGATATTTGGACTAGAAATGTAAGATAATAGTACAATTTTTGTCTTGTTTCTAGTCCAAATATCCAAAAACTCTTAAATTAAGAAGCATTTTCTGGACAAGCATTAAATTTTCTCATCTTCTCACGAATAATAAGACTAAATGAAGTGAGTTTTTCATGTAAACATGCAATATAATATTCCAATGGGGTATTATAAAGGAAATCATGTTATTTCAGAGGAGAAAAGTAAATCATTTTGCTTGTCTTAAGGAAAATCTCACTTCATTTTAATGCATTACTCCTGAAAATAACACAATATTTTATGCTTGGTCAAAAAATGCTTCTTAATTTAAGACTTTTTAGATATTTGGACTAGAAATGTAAGATAATAGTACATTTTTTGTCTTGTTTCTAGTCCACTTACACAAAAACTCTTAAATTAAGAAGCATTTTCTGGACGAGCATTAAATTTTCTCATCTTCTCACGAATAATAAGACTAAATGAAGTGAGTTTTTCATGTAAACATGCAATATAATATTCCAATGGGGAACTGTACATGAAATAATGTCTTTTCAAAGGTGAAAGGTAAATTATTTTGCTCGTTTTAAGGAAAATCTCACTTCATTTTCAGTTTCACAGGTGAATTTCACTTTGTTTGAATGCATTTTTGCTGAAAACATGACAATATGTGTTGCTTGTCTAAAAGATGCTTCTTGATTCAGGAGTATTTGGACTAGAAATGTTAGAAAAGCATTTTATTTTGCCGTGTATACGCCAAACCATGCATTATGTGCATTTCTCTGTGTTCTGTTCTGTTTGTGCTGCTTCATTTGGTCACTGTAAGCCTTGCTGTGCTTCTCTCGCTCTCACCGCTCTGGGGTTTCTTTTGGTGCCATGCTAAAATATTTGATGATAAGGGTCATACGCTTGTTTTGTTTTTTTCTTCTGATATTGTTTCCGTTTGGTTGTATTTGCTATGTTTGTACAAAATTAATGTTGTTTGTTTGTTTGTTTCTGCAATATTGATGCAGGCAGAATTAAAGGGATAGTTCACCCAAACATTGATGCATTTCTTTTTTCCATCGCACTGCACAACAAAATGCATTTGTATTCGGAGGTTTCGTCTTGTTGCTTTCTAGTAAAAATATCTAAACTTTTTTACATTAGGAAGCACTTTCTTGACACGTCTTATTTTCAGAATCCTAAATTAACCGAAAAGCTAAATCATCTGTCTGTGGAGTAAGTAAAATATATTTATTTTTTTCAAACTAAATGCAAGAGTATGTTGCTTATCCCACTGGCAGATTATGTTGCTCGTTGTAGGTCAAAACTCAAGTAATTTTGACTTATTTCTTCTGCTTTTTAATTTAGCAACGTTTCGATATTTTAACTTAAACTCAAAACAAGATATCCTAAGGAATGATGGGAAAAAGCAGCCATTGACATCCATAGTAGAAATTAAAAATACTATAGAGGCCAATGGCTGTTTATAATCCAGCATTCTTCAGGATGTCTTCATTGGTGTTCAACAGAAGACAGAAACTCATACAGATTTACAATGATGTGCAGTTTAAGGTGAACTGTCCCTTTAAATGTAAATAAGTCTAACTTTATTTTATGAGTGTCACGTTTAAAAAGCCATTCTGTTTGTTCCTGATTGGTCAGTCCTGGGTAAAGACTTCTACAGCAATAACACAAACACCCAAACACACACACACACTTATATGAAGAAAACGTGACTTTCCCTGTTTATTTGAGCTCATGTTGGTGTAATAACTGCATTAATTCGTCACTATAAAGAATATTTTTAATGGTGACCGATTTCCCAGTGGCTGTCTTGATGCTGTAAATAAATGTTTGTCTCGATTGGCCGTTTCTCAGCTTCATTATTATTCAAGCTTGAGAAAACAGTCATCTTTAATCAAAATATGCACCTTTTTTCCCGCTCTGAAATGGCAGCTCCTTCTCTGATGATGTCATTGGGTGTATGGAAGCTTAGCCCCGCCCCTAAAACTGTAAGTATTCTGCAAGTTAAAGATAAGAGGAGGAGCATAAAAAAAAACCGCCCCCTACTCAATATTCAATTTCAGTTGAAAGTACATGATCATTCTGGATTACAAGTCTGCGTTCCAATCCACTTTTAGACACACACTCATGAACTTCCCTTCCCTTGTTCCCTTGATGGAATCCCTGCTGCCATTTTGATTTCGCCCAAGGGAGCGAGTCGGCTTAATATGTCTACTACAGCACCTATGTGTCCCAGAATGCAATGCGATTGTGACGTCACAACAGTGTAGTGCTCAAGGGTTTAGGGCTCAGTCCAATTGTTTATGCCCTTCACTCGCTAACTTCCCTCCATCACTTTGCTTGGATGTACATCATTGATTATGTCACACAAGTGTGCACTACTGGTGGAGCATCTAAATGGGGCTGCGTTCCAATCCATTTTTAAGCACACTCACAAACTTCCCTTCCCTTGTTCCCTCATGGAAGTCCCAGCTGCTTCATTGACATACCCTTGATCCCTTGATTATAACTGAGGGAGTGCATCTGCTTCATATGGCCACTACAGCACCTGTATGTCCCAGAATGCAGTGCGATTGTGACATCGCAACATTGTAGTTCCCAAGGGCTCAAGGGTTTAGTGTGTTTCATTTAGAACCGGGCTGCAGTCCAGTCAATCGTTCATGCCCTTCACTTCCTTACTTCCCTCCATCACTTCTCTTGGATGTACGTCATTGATTACGTCACAAATGTGTGCACTACTGGTGGAGCATATGAATGGGGCTGCGTTCCAATCCATTTTTAAACACACACTCACAAACTTCCCCTCCCTTGTTCCCTCAGGGAACTCCCAGCTGCTTTTTAAAGTGTGTTCCACTTAAAGAGAATGAGGGAAGCACATTGACATACCCTTGATCCCTTGATTTTGACTGTGGGAGCGAGTCTGCTTCATGATGTCCACTACAGCACATGTATGTCCCAGAATGCATTGCGATTGTGACGTCACAACAGTGTAGCTCCCAAGTGCTCAAGGGTTAAGGGAATTGTATTTAAACCTACATTCCAGTTCTATGTATGCCCTTCACTTGCTAACTTCCCTCCATCTCATTCATTCAGATATACGTCATGTATTACACAAGTGTGCACTACTGGTGGAGCATTTGAATGGGTTTATATGAAGTGCCCTAAACACTTGAGCAGTTGGTAAGTACAGTGTTGTGAAGTCACAATCACATTGCATTCTGGGACACAGCTGCTGCAGTGGACATATTAAGCCGACTCGCTCCTTAGGGCGAAATCAAGTGTATGTTCATGTAAACTTCCCTTGTTCACTTGATGAGGTGGAACACAATTTG